CTTGGCGAACGCACATACCAACTATGCTCAGCTGCTACCTCCTTCCTATTAATTTTTACTAATTAAAATTTTTCTTCCTTTTTCTACAGGAGTTAAGTACAGACAAAGTGGTCCACCTTCAAGTATGCATATGCAGAATCACAATGTCAATTCCCTAAGAAGGAGGAGTGATAGGTTGCATATGCATTCCGCCCCCTGTCATGTTCCGCTGTTCCGCATATTAAAATTTAAATAGTCACGAGTTAGCATGTTTTTGACATCTAACGGATGAACCTGGTCTAGACGTTTGGTTTTTTTTTTTTACCGTCTGGAAAAACAAATGATGTGGATCCCTTTCTCTCTTCCTCATCTGGACTACTGGGTATAGGTTCTCTAAACGAACCGTGATAGAATGGAAAGAGAATAAACTAGAACAAAAAGAATAACATCAGAAAAAGGAAAAATTGAAGAGAAAGGGAAGAGAGAAAAAAAATACACACCGCGGAGGTAGATAGCCAACGAACCCACCCATCGTCCCCTACTTGCCCTTTCCTAATTTGAGGACTGAGCACTCTCCTCCCCATTCCCAGTGCGTAAAAACTACGGAATTCCAGATTATTGGATACCCTAGCGCGATAGTGGATTGCGAGCTCTTCAACTGAGCGACTGAAAAATGAGATCTCGATGTTGAAAAAGAGATTTTTTTTTTCGTAGTTCTTATTTGGTTTCTGCACGTCCTTTCTCGGTTAAGTAGATGGTTGATCGGTTGTACCCGATAGCATGGTAGCTATTATTTTCTTATTTTTTCCTTTTTGGTCCCGAGGACTTGGCTCTTTTGCATCTTCGGGGAGGAAATACCCCATCACCAATGAAATCCAGAAAATTAAACAAGCGGTACCTGTTGATTCAATCAAGTTCATAGTATGAAACACCCACCACATTTCCAGCGGTGTAGCTATGTACATCGTCCTAAGCATATACATACATACATACATACATCATCATCACCATCGACAGCACACCCCCACCAACCATGAAAGTAATCTCCGTAATTTGAAATTCTCAATCGGTCAACTCCGCTAATTTCGAGTAAAGTAAGATGTAGTCTTTAGTCTTGTAAGTTGCAGCCGATAGAAATCTTGATCAGTATGATCCCATTAAGTCAAATTTAGTTGTATTAAAAAATTTCCTCAAATAAAAAATTTAATTAAATGAAAGGTAAACTCGGATTTCAATTCCGGCCCAGCATGCAACGACGTACTTACCATGGTAACCATACAGAGAGTAGCATCCGGAGTACATCCGCCTCGTCTCTCCGCCCACTCATCAAAGCAATGACTAGTCGTAGTAAGTACTCCGTATGTAGTTAGTAAGTACGGAGTACTCCCAGTAACTTACTCCAAGTAGGTACAGGGTAGCGAGCCTCTGACCCCACCTCAATATCAAAAACTCCAGACTATCCCGCGGAACAGTCCATCGACGCGGCCGTTTCAACATCTCAAACTAGCTGGCCCTTGGTTCTGGGTCGGCTGCAACTCTGACCACGGGAAGATCACCGCGGTTTGGCGGGAGGGCCAATGAGCGTTGTTGTAGAAGATGTGATCAGGCCTTTTTTCTTTTTCTCTTTTTTTTTTTTTTTTTTTTCAATGTTGAATTTTTTTCCTTTTTTTTTTTTTCTTTTTCTTTTTACTTTCGTTTTTTTTTTTTTTTTTTTTTTTTTTTTTTCCCCTCTTCTTCCCTGTTTTTATGGTTCAACTCCCGATTTGGTAATAATGGAAGTTTTGCCGGAGTTATTACTCCTTTGGCCCGTTGGGAGTGATATAATTAGATCTTTCGTGCAGATATGGATCTCGGGAGGAGAGTCAATCGGGGTTCTGAAACGCGAGACTTTTCGTTTGTTCTCTTGGTTGTTGGTTATGGAACTGATGACTGTCGAGGTACATAACGTAGGCTCGTGAGATTAAGCGTATTGGGATCGCTGAGGTTTCCCAATTGGGTCAGCAGTCTACGACCCAGGATGTTACATTCCGGGGAGTTTAGCTAGACAGCTCACTCGGCTACTAGCTAGGTCGCTAGAGCTAAGGTACCGTAGCTCTGAGGAGGGCTGTGTAGTTTGGCCTCTGCACCGTCGTATTCTATCTTCAACAACCTCAACGCACCTAGTGACTAGTAGTAGTTAGTTAGTATGAATATTATACAAGCCCGTTAGTCAAGCTAAGGTCAGAGTCATTCCAGACGTGGAGTGGACCAGTGAAAAAAGGGGAATCGAGCCAATCACGCGTGAGAACTGACGGATTCCCCACTGAAATATATTAAAGCCCTATTAAAACCCGAGATGATCTGCCAATCAGCGGCCAGGGTTCCCTTTCCTCTGGTTGGCAATGAAGCAGGATGATATAAATAATTCCATCTATCTCATATTAATTAATTCCGGGTGATCAGGAGAAGCAGCATTGGGAGGTTTCAGCTGTCACCTTGGGGCGACATTAATTGAGCAATATAAATAGATTGCATCTTAATTTGTTTCGTCGTCTGACACGTTATTATCAATCAATCAATCAATTTTTGATATCTTTGCCTTGGATTTGGCGGGAATTGTCAATAAATCCCTGATTTACATGTTGGTCTCGAGGAGAGAAGTCCAGAAGGTCAATATTTCTTTGCTGCAACGGTTCTCCACTCGGCTAAATCGAATTATCGAATCATCACGATCGGATCGGAATCGGCAATACGTCACGTTCAAGAGGAGGAGTGAAAGGAAACTAATCGTCCGCTAACTGACGCTAACGACGAGTATTCCAAATCAATGGGAAAACGATCGTCGTTCCAGTGCTGCGATCGTCTCTTGGTCCGGGCCAGGGGTGCGTTGATGAGGTAAGTCGACAATCTCATTGTTCGTCAAGAGTGTGTCGTCGGGTATCGTGAGAGTCGGCTGGATAATTCGGCAACGGAGGGGGTTTTTTATTTTATTTTATTTTATTTTATTTTATTTTTCTTTTTTTTTTTCTCTCTTGATATTTCCGCCGGATTCACATTCCATTTGGAGAATTAACATTTTCAAAGAAAAGCATAAATTTTAAAAAATTTAATAAGATACCGAAGCGAGTCATGTCATAGTATGTCAAAGGTTAGGGGGGACGTCCCTCGTAGAATAGCGACTGTCGACGAAAATTAAATGTAACTTTATTTTCATGTATTTGGGTTCAGTGATGAACATGCTCGGTTACCCCATCTTGCAAAGACTTGCAAGAAAGGAGGCATCATGGCTGGCTGAAGTGAGCGTGCGGATGGGAATGTGTGTAGGTTATATCCGTACACTTACCAAATTGGCATCCTCGCAGTGATGAGCATGATTATTATTATAATATCATACAGACGATCGGCAATCTCGACCAAGCTGAATGTGGCTTTCCCACCAACTCCTCTGTAGCACTGTGGCGAGTCGGACAGGGAAGCTCGACGACTATTGAGGCCATCCTTCGATTACTATTCGCACAGCCCCGTCAAGACTAAAGAACTAGAGTGAGATAGTGAGGTGACCAGTGTGGTACACGTGCGAGAGTGGCTGGTGCCAATGTTGCTTTTTTTTTCTTTTCTTTTTTTTTTTTTTCTTTGGTCCTTGTTTGCTTTTTTCCTTAGATCTGGTCTCATTGCGTGTTGTGGTCCAATGTATGTAAATCCCACTCCAGTAAGGACGCAAAAGGCGAATGGCAAGGTCCTGTCGTGAGAGGTACAGTATGAACATGAACAGTACATATGTACATGCATACCCACATACCCAGTGGATACAAACCACCACGTAGTCGGGTTCGAGGACAAAGTCTGCAGCTTCGACAGACGTGTAGTAGGTCGATCCTCCTGAGACCGTTGGCAATGGTGCACAAGGAGGATACTCAAGGGAAGAAGCAATGGATATCCGGAACGGGGAACGGGCAAACCGCATTGCCAACGCTCAAGCCCAGTCCAATCGTCCCAGGTTAAACTTTTGGGCAACAGGAACCTTACCGACCAAGTTCCAAGTTCCAACAGAATTATTCGTACCTCCTGCACGTCAAAGTTTGCACGGTGAACCATTGAGAGCATCCAAGCGCCCTGGACTGAGTCGCGATTCGTATGAACCATACCGGTTTTCTATCCATTCATTTGGACCATGCCTTGAAGGATCCGTGGTGGATGGAGGACAACTCGGCAGCTGAATTAGAAATCGATCTATCGATCCCAACTTCCCAACCAAGCGTGGTATGCATGCAAACTGTAGTGGTGGTGTGGGGGGTTTTTCCCTTGCTTTTTGTTTCTTTTCTTCTTTTCGAGAGATCTCCTGTCTCACACCTAATAAACTTACTTATTAGTATTATTATGTATTGATTTTTTTTTTTTATTCTGCGTCGAAGTGGTATCACGTTTTCTCTCCTTTCTCAACTCGCCTTCGGATATCACTCAGCCGGTGGCAACCCCCTTGCGTACTCCTCGTGAGGTTCAGTCGCAGACAAATGCCGATGACAGCCAGCCACAAAAAGGGAGAGTTCAGCTGAAGTGTGTCGGCAGTGGGGATACCAACTGATTCATATCATGCCTATCCAAGAATGAACGGTAAGAACTAGGAGAGAGGCCAGAGTGGAAAATATGAATTAAGGCTCAATATCATACACAAAAATTAAAAGCATCGTAAGTTTCATTGTAACCAACATGCAACAACAGCCAGGGGTATTATTAAAGTCCAAGCACACACATAGTGGATCCCAACCGAGTATCCAGAAACACAGACCTGTACACATGCAGAAGAAAACAGATCATCCGTCACTCCCGTCTTTTCTCTAAACCATCCAAAGTAGTCATCCAGCCAACGATGACCGTCGAAACTCGACCATTCTCCGAACATGCTTTTGTACCAATTCAAAGAGGCACCATGATTACCACGTGACCCGCCGTGGATATATATGAAAATCACCCAACAAAATGTACATGATATAGATACAAAGGAAATGCAAAAAAAATGAAAAAAAAAATGAAAAATGAAAATGAAACCAAAATATCAAAAGAGTGACAAGGGGTCGGTCAAGCATATACATAAACGCTTCCAGGATATCATCCGAAATGAAGCAAATTAAGGCAAAATAGTATGCGAAAGATGTCGTGCGATCATTCCAAGGCGAAGAATCGTCATTAGTTCAGCAGGTTACTGAGGCCCATGCGCGAATCACGTGGGGATTCGGCTTTAGGTGCCTCTGGTTGAGACTCTTCGGGGGCAACGAGCCAGGTCTGCGACAACGAGGTTGAGTGCTGGTGCCAAGGCTGGTTGTCCGAAACCCATCTGGGCTTGAAGGGCAGATCGGCAAAAGTGTCGGACTTCTTCGGGGTTGACCACATGTAGACTTCATCCAATGAGCTCTGCTTGCGGAAGTCGCCGTATTGTTGGCGGGTGTCCACGGGAAATGGCAGGAGCTGCGGCGATGCGATGGTCCTAGGGGATGCGGAGGAAACTGAATTATGGTCTGAGACCATGGATGGTGGCTCCAGGGAGGGAGTATGAGAAGCGTCCGAGTAAGCAGGCGAGGTCAAAGGCGTCTCGACCGGGCGGTTGAGCGCGGGGAGTGTGTAGATAGGCGTCAGTTGGCGAGGGGCATCAAGGGAAGTGGTCGAGGTGGAGTCCCGCCTCGACCAGGAAGTAAAAGGTCTATCGGTCGAGATAGAAGTAAAGCGAGACCGGCTGGTTGGGCTGCCCAAAGACACGGAGGCGCGCGCATATGGGGCTTCAATTCGACCATTGAAAGTGCGTGAGATGTGCGTGGTACTCGAAGTGGGGAGACCTCTCCTCTTGCGGTTCATACTGCCGTTCCACCAGTTCTTCACTGCGTTGTCGCTGCGATTGCCGAGTCGTCGGGCAATTTCGGCCCACCGCTTGCCCATTTCGTTCACCATCCGCTCAATCATCAGACCCTCATCTGCGGAGATAGGCTCGCGGTTCAAAGATGGCTTAAGATTCTGGTGGAATCGTTCCCGGCATTGCTTGGGAGACCGGTAGTGCATGTGCTGCGAAATGCGCACCCAGTTGTTGGGGCCTTGTTCCCGAACCAACTGAAGTAGCAACTGATCCTCTTCAGGGACCCAAGGTCCACGGCGATGAGTAGGTGCCATTATAGATAAAGTCTTTGATGTATTGAAGAGATCGTTTTCACTTTGTTCCCTGTGACAGTCGGTTAGATGGTTATAAGTAGGAGAAGGAAACGAGTTGATGATCCGAGTAGTGAAAGCAAAGTAATAAAGGATGCAGGAGTGCCAGTAATTAAAAGAAGGGCACAGGGCGGGGAAGGTTGACAGTTAATATAATAAGGGAGGTTGAGTGCTTACCGATGGTGGGGGGTGGCCGACTTAGTGCACCAGAGATTAAATCCCACAAGTGCTTATTATATATGTGTGTATGTTGGAAAAGGGTAATCAGGTACCTGGATCCTAGAAAAGATTGCTTTGGTAATGGATGGATGGATTGAAAGAATTTAAGGTTCGAAAGGTACGGCGGTCCAGGTGGTAGATATATCTCTAGAAGAGTAAGGGGAAGAGACGGGAAATTTTGAAGTGATGGACAAGTATGAGGAGGGATGAGGTATGATCAGTTTTATAGCAATAATCAGAGAATAGGTACAATGACCAGGGAGACGGGTCAGAGAAAAATGGACTACTGCTCCACACTTAGAGCACGCTATAGGAGAAGATCTGATCCAAGATCTCGGAGAGCTGACAGTTGTCGGAGGTATAAAATGATAAAATAAAATAGAAAAATTAAATTATAATTTATTTTTTGGGGGGTGATTATATTTTTTTTTTAAATAATAAGAATTTATTTTTTATTTTTATTTTATTTTTCCCCTTCCCGCAGATTTCGTTACTACTACTGTATTGTCACACTCGTCACGAGCACTTTTGTATGTAATGTTTGTAATTTTGGTAACTTCCGACTTTTACTTGGTACACACACTCATACCCGACATGAAAGGAGGTTTTGTCACTGTCTACCCCGTACTCGAGTTCATCAATTGCTGCCTTGCTACAAAGGGGCTCCAGGTGTTATCCCTAGAGGCACAGGATGGTTCGCCTCCATAAGGTTCTTTAATCATGTTCGCTCAGAGATATATTGTACATACGTAAACCAGATGTACATTGTTTATCTAAATATGGAGCTCGGTATGTACGTACAGATATACTTACAGTACTCCGTACGGAGTACCCGACATACCTGGATACTCCTGGAGGGTGTCAACGTAATGACATAAGATACTCGAGTGGGGAAAATGAAAAGACAGGCTAAACATTCTTTGCAGTATCTTCTTTGGGTAAGACCCATCTTTAGCCTATGAATTTGACAGGGTCGTAATTTTGAAGCACACCCATGCACGACTCCACTCAAATTAATATAATTTTATTATTCTTAAAAAAAAAAAGGAATAAAGAAAGAAAGAATAAATAAAAAAAAAGAGACCAAGTTCTGAAGCGCAGGGGGAATTTCCGGATCGTGGGGGAAAGATTTGCCACTATTTGCTATAGTAACAGACTCTTACCACAGGACTGGTGTTGCAACAGGGATTCCTGTAGTACTAATGATTTGTGTGAAACATGAATATGCGTCTACTTCGCTTTTTATTTCCTAATTGCTTTTTAGGTGTACACCAAGCAGACATCGCGAGTCATTCATTGTATGAGAGACAGCGACATGAGACCATCCAGGGGGTGCGGAAAGACTTTGTTAATCACTCCTCCTCGCAAGGCTCACCCTGGTCACGATCTCCTTCTCTAGAATTATTATACATATGTACGCCATCCCAAGTACTAGACCTATGGAGATTTAACTCCGACGCCGCTATATCGGCGTTAAACGTCTAGGAACTTTTAGGAGAAATCAATGTAGTATCTGTAGGACGAACAGACACGTAGTTTCCGGATTAGTAAATAATCAGCCTCCATTCTGCTAACCTCTTCTTTTATTTTTATCACTTTAGTCCATCTGCTCGTATATGCAGTGGAGACCATGTTTAGGGGGAAAGTGTCGTCGAGATAGCAGAGAACAGTCTTCCTTGAGTCAGTCACGTCTCGATAAAAAGAAAACCATTTAATTTTAATGGGGTACAGGAACGACAAGTGAACGCGAGGAAGACCCCACGGTATCAATCATTAATTAGACTGTGTGGGAGGCAAAAGGGAAAAAAGGAACAAAAAATTAAGGTCCGATCATCTCCGTGGGTTAGTGTACTGAGTGCACTCATGGCCGATCCACTCTCGACACCTTGAATATGAGGTTGGCCTATGCTCGTCTAGGTTCAGGGCCCTGACAGGAGAACGGGAGCGGCAGAAACGGTCTGTGGTAAGCAAATGAGGAAAAGTCTGGTGTGTTGGGTGAGCGGGGCTTTTTTTTATCTTTTTTTTTTTTTTTTTTTGTCTTCCCTCGTTTTTATGGTCAGAATTAGATATTCTTACATCTTAAAAAGTCAAAAAAAAATAAAAGGGGGATAAACGTGTACTCCGTATGTGGAAAAGGGAGAAACAATTCCGTGAAGAAAATAATAAGAATAATCATACAATTCTGATAATATTAAAAGACTGATACTAACCATATTAACACCACAGTGTAATATGATAACTGCGAATCAAAAATCATCGATCTTCGTCTGTCGAAATTGTCCTTGATGAAAATTATACCAACAGATTGGGTTAGTGTTAAGCTAGTGTGGTTGAATTGGTATCATGTCGCGATCAAGGCAGACAAAAGCTTCATGGCCATAGCTCCGGGCAACAGCAGTGCCTTCCCAACAAGAAACGGCGACTTCGGGGACCCACTGTTGACGGGCAGTATCCCTGCCCAGTCATGGCAGACAGATCCTTTCGTGCATTGATAGTGCATCGCTCTTAGTCTGTTTTAAGAGGTGCCAACCTTAGCCTGGTACTAGCTAGTAGTTGACCGGCAATGGAGGGTGGGAGTGGGAGAGGACAAGGCATTATTGACAGGTATTAATTCCATTTTCTTTAATTATGATTAACAAATTAGGAAAGAGTCAAGGAAAGCAGGAAACAAATCAAATCCAATAAAAAGGGTGACGAAGGATGAGAAAACACCACCCGATCCAAATCCTCAGCCAGCCATGTTCACTTATCACTCCACTCCCCGTGGGCCGTTTACTGAGTACTTACGACTTGCTCCAACATGAACCGTTTGTGTGGGGGCCATGATTGGCGCAGTGCGTCTAATTCTAAGAATTTGGAATCATTAGACTTCGCTTTACTCAACATGGTTAAGATCATCGTGGAGATCGTGAATCTCGAACGGAGGGAACCTTTGCCTCGGTGCCAGTGGCTTCGCAAGTTACCGAACACTTTCCATTACTGGAACTTACCTCCATGGGCTTAGTCATCTGCATCGCCCTCCCAATTAGGAAATCTGTGAGGTCATCCAGCCCTAATGATCAGCTCCCGTAAAAACAACACAGCCATTGTTCGAGTTCATGATACGTATTGTAACCTTGAGGATTCTATTCTTGGCCATTGTCATTCATTGATTGACATTACTTGGAAGAGAAGAGAACCGAAAAGGGCTTCATTCGGAGAGATTACTGAGTTTACAGGTATGATCATCTTCATGTAGTGACAAAATAGTCAAGATCCCGCCAAACTCAAAGAGCAGCAGAAACATGAACAAAAGTACCTGATAACGAAGGCAAGAGGAGTGACAGTGTCCAACCATCTTCTTCAGTTCATGTTCCTGACTCACGTTCACTGCACCGTCAACCGGATACAGGATACTAGAGACTGGGTCCAAACTCAACTCACCTCTGTGCCGCCGATGCAGGACGAAGATTGACAGATCTCATGGGCCCTCTTCTTGCCGTCTCCATTTCGCCTTCCATTCGCCTTCCACCGTGCAATGCTCCGTTTGGCTGTTGGCCCTCCATCTGCTAGTCCATGCATCGTCATGCAGCAGCTACGCGCGAACGAACCGGCTGAAGATGGTTAAGAGGCGGACGGGGAAGTCGGGAACATCCGCAAATGGATAGGTACTGAATGGACCATTTAGAAAAATGACATTGAGCCGTAAATCCGGTTTTTCTGATTGGATTAACCCCGACTTTTAGCCATGAATCGAGGATCCTGCGCGCAGGGACGGTGCCGCTGTACTGGTGTTCACAGTGGGGAGGGCAGCAAAAGAAAAATCACGATGGAAAAAGCAATTATATTGAACTATAGAGCACTATCGTTCCTCCCCTATCCACATATACCTATATCATAGATCGAGTAATCGCCATCGGCGATTTTTTCTCCGATTAATTAGACAGACAAAACTGATTGGCCGATCTGGATGACCTCGATGAGGACTGAGTTCCAGGACAGTGGAAAGGGAGTATTAAGCTTCGGCAAGGAAGTGATCAGGATGTAATGAGATCGACCATGTGGAATGGAAGGCTCGCTTCGCTGCGATGATAAGTAACCTGTCGATGGTGTCGAGTCTCTCCGCAAATTAGCAAAATACAGTCGGATTGACTTTGAGGGAAGCGCTGTCATGCAAAGCGGCAGGAGTCCATCACATTCCTAGAGTTGGAGGCATGCAGCGTAGTGGATAACTTATGCTGTCAAAGCTGTCACACTATATGCGCCATAGAAACCATAAATTACATGTAAATCAATATGACAAGGCCCGCGACACATGGCAGATACCACGAGCGGGAATATCATTGAACTGTAATACGGCATACGATTTTAGATTGAATTTTTTGTTTTTCCAAAAATAACCCTCCTCAGTTAAATTGATATTAATATTCTCCATGTATGTACGGAGGACAGATGATGCAGTGATCAGTCAAATGTCATAACGAATTTAACCGGTACGGTCGATCCCTCATCCAAGCGTACGACTAAATACTAGTAAGTAGGGTGCATCGACCGCATGACGTGAGCCTCGATCTGCCCGGCCATTGGTCAGCATATTTAAGGTATTTGTCATTCTGGGGCTGGTGGGTCCTGTACCTTTTTTGGTAAAGATAAGCGGAATATTTCTCTTTTGTTTGAGATCCGAAAGAGGCTTTAATTCCGTTTTTTTTTTTTCGGAGAGCATCCCATGTGCTCACATGGATCATCCAGACAACTACTAACAATAAAGGAGCTTCCCATGCTGGTAAAGTTGAAACAAAAGTAATCCAGGGGACTGGTAAGTTGTGAAGAACAACCGTCAATAAACAATGATCAACCGTCACACATCAAATTTCGCTTGACAAGAAATATTCCTCGCCACTAGATTACATCTTCTCGATCGAGATATTACTACTGGAGTAGTACTATCCATTTCCGAGCTGGTTGTTGGACTAGCATACTGTACTATGCTCCCCTCCCCCCAAAAGGACGCAGTTCGTGGCAAATAGTGGGGAAACCGCTTTTCCCTGACGTTTGTAGATGTGAATCTCGCCCTGAGCTTCGTTTACTGTTTAAGGCAGTGAAACTAGTCCAGTCTAGCACCGATGATGTCCATGGGGTTCTTCGGGGACCCCCTCGGCCTCCGTTGTACTTAGTATCTCCTAGGAGCCAGACGATCTTCTGGCGAGGGAGCCAATGTGGTAACCCCATTCACGTCTATGGGCGGTCGTTGAAATGCCATGTGGACGGGTCCTTGCGATCCACCCTCGTGGTACGCAGCAAACAAAGCACTTCCGGAGTACACACAGATTCATTCCATACTTCTTACGTATCCATACACGTTAGATCTTCCGGGTCAACCTAAATATTACTCAAGCCTGCTGGATACATCCATGTCAGGGGAATTCCAGAGAAAGGGGAAAGAACACAGAGAGAATACTACGGCCTGGTTCGATCATCAAACCAGACAGGTCACAATACCCGATCAACGGCTGACCCGAAAACTTATATTGGACTATTGATTGATCGGAAAGCGCTTACTAGTGGAGTCGGAACCTCGACAATGCGATACGCTACACGCGCTGACTGTTAGAGTTTTGGACCCGAATGGTCACCGAATGGTACCCTCTGGGCGGTACCAATCAAAAGTCCGGGACGTATTTGAGTTCTCTCGTTCTTGTTCATTAACATCCTGCAGGACAATGCGATCGGCCCTGTCAATTGCCTAAAATGTCGTGATACAGCACACATTGGCGACCTTGGATTGAATGCCTGGGGCACCACCAGTAGCCGTACCAAACTTCTGGGCTTACGAAGTTTCGAGATGGTTTTTTTTTTTTTCTTTTAACCTTCTCTGTCCATGTGCATGAGGGTAACTATCCAGATCAAAGAAAGCATGATCTGATGCTCTCTTCGATGTAGGCCAAAAATAATCACATGTAACAAACCAAGCGTCCATCAGCACGTTTCAGGACACGTTTAGGGTTTGACATGGATGAGGACCCTTAAGTAAAGTAATATCTCTTTTACGCAGGCTGTTCAATGCTGTGTAACCCCCAAAAAGTAAATGAACCAGGATTCCCAATGCAGGATACCCTGTATGGGGAGGGAATGTGGTTTAGAGTGGAGCGAACGGCTCTCTCGCATCCGCAGCTGTTTCCTGACTGTCGGGCCTCCTACTCTGCGAACCTCAAGAGGTCCGAGCACCCCTCGGGGCGGAGTTTGACTTGTTTGTACGGATCAGAGGTGAAATGAAGAGGAAAAAAAAAAAAAAAAAAAAAAGAAAAAGGACAAATAAATGCCAAGATCATGTATAGCGTCGCTGTGTGCACTCCGTATTGATTCTTGGGCGCCAAAGGATTGCGTCAATGGATCTACTACTATTTGTTTGACAAGGCAATCGCTTCTGGATCCTGTCTCAATCTAGTAGGAGTCGAGATGGCATGTTCTAGAGCAACGAAGTGACAACGGAGCTGTCATCCATCCATCCAGTAGGTACTGAGAAGAATGATCGGCAGCTTGTAACAGACCGAATACAAGGCTGCATAAGATACCAATAATTCCATACATACAGAAATAAATACATCAATACAGTGACCACATGTCCTGCAGGAATCATGTTTTCCATACACAGAACAATGGTAATATATATATCTCAAATTCGAAAGGAAAAGGTCTAATCAAGATAACCTCGAGTGACAGGTAAAAATTAGGAAAATTAGGATTTCCCTTTGATAGTTTAAAAACCAAATAAAAAAGGTTGTGTAGAAAGAGTACAGTCGTAGGTAAAGTAAACAGACCAAAATCTTGGGTCCATCGTTTCTTGTCAGAATAATCGACTTTTTTTAACTCATACCCGTAAAACGGTGAACCTTTCCCATGGGATGTGCTAATCGAGATAGTAGATAAGTACCAGAATCTAAATTTGGTTGACTTAGCGTTGTTGTATGTACCTCGTAAACTCCCTCGAGTCAAAGAACAATGGTTCTGGATCCTTGGGACCATGAATGACGCTGAAGGTACTACGTACTCCGTACCCAAGTTACCTCTACCTTGGAGGGAGAGGGGGGAGTGTTTACGACCTAAGATTGCTCCATACTTACCTAAAAGGGGGGAAGTGTTGGCTTGTCCTGTCAGAAAATACGAAGAGGGAGGTGGGCTCCGCTCTGTTGGGCGGCGTCTTCTCTCTCTCTCTTTTTTTTTTTTTTTTAATTTCTTTTTCCCTCGGGCTTTATGAGTGAGAGAAGTGTCGGGGACCATGTGGTTCCCGATTCGCCCAAGTGCCCAGTCTGAGACGAATCTCCCGTTCTGGTTTAGTTTCCATTCAACCTCTAACTAAACTAGTAGTTCATTTTTTGTTCCCACGGACTTGTCACTTGCTGGTCCCCGAGCCCTAAACCTAACTCAGGGATTCGGACAACGACTATGTATGTCGGATTTGTATATAGCCAATTTATGCATAACATATTCAAACATGATAGTTCTTTTTGCCAGGTTGAACTACGACTCGATAGTGGTTCAATAAATCCTACGCCTATGAATTCCTGTACCATGCCTACACAAGTTCTTTTTGATTTTAGTCTCTTTCCTAATCGGTGTAGTTATATATCCAGTACCCGGTAGAAATAAAATCAAATCAAAGGAGTCGATTGCTGGTGCCCAACGTGAGGTCTAGAGGATTCTATAGTATACATTTTGTTCTTCCTCCTCATTGCCCTTCCCAATTGCCAAAGAAGAAGCGGCATCAATGTGACGCCACATTCCCAATCTAGTGGTATATGGCCTGCAAATTACCCAATGGAGAAGTCACCCAACCTCGAAAGAGTAGTAGATATCGCGCAGTCTCTAAGATGCCCTTTGTCATGACCCGAAGCCACGGCAAGGTTCAAACGTTCCCTAGGTTCCAGGTCCATGAAGTCGGGATTCTCTTCACCAGTCCCATCTCTATACGAAGAAGAACCACGGAGATTCAAAGAAGTTCAAGCCACCTCGTACCGATTCTTTCAAGCAGAACGGGTGACTTTCCGTCCGGGAGAAGTGGAAAGTCATCCGTCTCTACGTTGTACCCAATTGATTTGCGGGTCCGGTGTTTGGCTTCTACAGGGATGCCACGGTGAAATAAAAAAAAAGGACGGCGTCTCGAACATCTTGTTTGACAACCCCCCCACCTGGGATATCCCCATACACACTAAGCCGTGATCCTCGAATGAAACATGATCCTGGTAGAAACGTAGTGGCGTCGAGAAACACCGGGATGCTACAGAGCCAAGCATCGGATTTTCAACTTGCGTATGGCTAAAAAAGCCGTTGCACATCATCAACTGAGGGATATCTTGGACTCCCGTTCACACGCGGTATCCACTGGTCCGCTAGAATCCTTGCCTATAGTGTTCTATTCTTTGTCCTAGTGAGCCATCGGTGAATGTGAGCGTGCTGGTGGTTGTCTCATTACGGTCGGAGTAGTTTTGTCAGATGGCCCACCACTGCAGACACTTTGACGATAGGACCAGCGTGTGGGGAAGGCCGCGGGACATGAGACCGGATGATTTGACTTTGCTCAAAGACTATCAGTGCAAAGAGTCCCACAGGAAAAATGCAAGTCTGCGATGTGAAGAGGGGTTGCAGGTCTTTTTTGGGCTCTGGTGAAACGGTCTGACAGATAACAATTCGAAAGTTAGCAGTCTGTGCACTCTGTCAGAGCATTACTGGATAAAGACCTCCCCAGAAAGGAAGTGACAATATACTCAAGATTTACAAAACAAGACAGGTTTGTAACGTCCAGCGACCTTCACTGTATTACGGCGAAATTGTCAAAAATTTAGTGACTAACCGATACCGTACTTGTTGGTATATCTTGTCTGTCTGCAGACGGCAAAGGTATGCCAATCGATTCTCCTTGTCGGAATGGCTCTGTGATCTTGATGGCGTAGGTGTTGTCAGATTAGCGCCACCGCACATCCACTGGGTGGGCATATTCTCGCCATCTGCGGCATTTTCCTCATATCCAAGTAGATAGGTCGTCAGCTCAATGCGTTCAAGGAGCATTTGGAGGCAATGTGACTGGGCCATCAATCCAGTCAACGTCAAGTAGGGAGTGGTTCGTGTACGCGCGACATCTTTGCCCCCGCTTGCATCCTCGTGGTCATGGATTTTCCTTGCATGAATCGTATGTCCGTATGGATGGGAAACAAGATCCAGTAATTGACAGAGCAACCCAAACTTTCTTTCCATGAAGGAGATTCATCAATAAGAGGTCGTCAGTACATCCTTTCCTTACTTGGCCTGTTCGTGTGCTGCACACTGCTACCTCGCCTTGATCTCGGGGGCCTTGACTGGCTGATCGTCCCGATAGCTTCCCAGCCATTGAAGTCTCATGGAGTGAATGTAACCATAAATAATCCTGAATTTAGATATCTCAAAAAAATGGTTAGTGGGTATGAAACAGCAGCGGCCCGATGATGATGAGAGCCCGTGACACCCCCTTGCCTTTTTGGGTCAAGCAAGCGTGGTTGTATTGATCATTTTTTTTTTCTTTGTCTATCACCTTAAGTTACTCTTCCACCTACCATCTACCGTCAATCCAGGAAGCTTTCACTCATGCATCTCTGCTACTTGAGAGTATGGCTGTCATTACGTACTAGACATCATATCCCCGAAAGCATGATCAATTGCCGTTCACTATCACAGAGGGAAAAATTGAGACCGAGCATGGCTCGAGACGTAAGCAGGGAAATGCTTAGCAGGCCCCCTCACGACGAGTCTTTCCAGCAACATCTCGTGGATTCATTGTAGCTTGTACACTTCGAGACTAGGTGAGCAACTAGTCCTTACAGAGTGAACTTTCATCATCGAGCAAAAGCTTACTGATTACTGCACAGTCAGTGTTCTCGTCAGATATCCGGTAATAGTCGGAAAAATCTTCATCTTGGCCATGATCTCAAAAAAAATAAAAAATTAAAAAATTAAAAAGTACCGCTGCCCAAATCTTTCCATAGAAGCGGTCCATGATATTAGAAATACTGAAGGACTAGCGATCTACTAGTATAACTTAGTGATCGTCTAGTCAGTTGACTATGGGCTCGGCTATGAGCAATGCGGGCTGTGTGCACGGTATCTACCCGGCTGTCGAAACTCTATCGGCAGGCGCCATCCCTTCCAGGCCCAGTTTTTCAGCCTTGGGTCCCAGTGCACAGGTTAAGCGCATGGCCATCCCGTCCCGAAGCTGGAAAACATGCCCCATATCCCCTTCCTGCTGGGCAATAAGCGATATCGATCGTGATCCACGGGCCCCATACTGGTTTGAACTGCTTCACAGTCACCTCCTAGTCCCGCTCCTAGGCTGGCTGTCTAACCTAGAATTGCCAAATCAGTGCTCAATCTGGGAAGAATGTGTCGTTTCTCTGTCGCACTACTAGAGACCGGTGTCTCGGGTTAACACCCGCTGAATACCGTGATACAACTACGGGTTCTAATATTAGGCATGAGCTTGTTGGGACTTGCGAATGACTCGCTTCCAACTTCGCCGCAAAGTGAAGAATGGAAAAAAAAAGAAGAGAAGACCCAAGAATGGGTGAGGAGGGACTGTGTCGCAGACCCTGCGATGCATCGTACTTGCAATTTCGTGACCGGCAAGTGGGTGCCGGTCAGGATTCTCTGCCTAACACAAAACATTACCTAGCCTGCTCCACTAACTCCTCATCTTTCCCCTCATCTTTCCGCCTGTGCCGTGAGGTGAACGACTACCATTGGCATACTGTTGCCGAAAATGAGCCTGATATGACCGACGTAGGCACACGTGCTGCGTAACGCCTTTGGCATGCTCAGATACATCACAATTCCCAACGCTTAGTGCTCATCAAGAAGGGCAGGATGAGGTCATAGCTTCCTCATAATTGAATCACAGACTTCCAATTTTTCTGCTGGCAAAAGAAAAGAAAATTGAGCCATCCAAAGCAAAAGCATGTACTTACAATGGCCAGTTTCTCCAGCCACCTTCTGGATTCGGTTGAGAGGGCTTCATTGGAGTCACATTTGCTAATGCTAAGTGGCGTAGAACGCATACTGTGGATTCAGTTCAAAAAAATACACTTTCGATAAAATCGAATTATTGTTTGTGATTCTATCATGCATAACGCATACATCAAATCAGGTTTCTGCGGCATTCACCATGACAGAATTACTCCTACACTTGGACAGTTCTTGACGAAACCTCGATTTTCCCAAGTCCAAGGGTCGAGATCTTGAAATCAATTAACAGTTGATTCCAAATATGTTTCCCTTTCCCCTTGCATGAATGTGATCAGATGCATTTTCTGGATAGCAATCTACCTCTAACCGGGTTTCCTAGATTGTTTGACCGAACAAGAAAATGCGCAGGAGAAATCCAGGTAAAAAATGGAACATCACTATCAGTGGTACTTGACAAATAGTATACGCTCGTGCCAATTCTCTACGCCCTGACCAAAACAGGCATTGTCTCAATCGGACAAGCAACCTCGACCGTGTTGCCTCCCTCGTACACCTTGTCTTCACCCCATAATTTCCACGAAGCCCCTGCTGGCAGATAGGCAGCTATCTTCCGCTGTCCTGCTTCAAGTACCGGTACTATAAGATACTTAGAGCCATACATGTACTCTGTCTCGATATCCCATGCGGTCTTGTCCTCCGGGAACTCATAGAACAAAGTCCGGATCACCGGGGAGCCCTTCTCATGGGCTTCTTTCATCAAGCTCCTAGTATAGTCTCGGAGCTCTTCACGAATGCCAATGTATTTCTTGCAAATCTCATAGATCTCTTCTCCATACGACCAAACCTCATTGTCAGATCCCGACGCAGTAGGCTGTCCCTCCGGCTTTGGTTCGCGGTCACCATGCAGACGCATCACAGGGCAGAATGTCCCCCACTGGAACCACCGGGTAAAAAGCTCTCTGAAAGCAGGATCATCCGGATTACCTCCATGAAAACCGCCGATATCCGTAGTCCACCAAGGGATCCCAGCCAATCCCATATTCAGCCCGGCAGCCAGTTGATTGCGGAACGAGCTCCAGGAGGATGCAATGTCGCCGCTCCATACAAGGGCACCATATTTCTGGCTGCCGGCCCAGGCACAACGAAGAAGATTCACGATGTTCTTTTGACCCTCGGCCTCCATGCCTTCGTAGAATGCCCGTGCGTACTCTTTGGGGAAGATGTTTCCGATCTGCATGTTGGGACCGGCGTGATAGCGATATATATCGAAATCGTAGATGCTGTATTCGGGCTCCGCTTCGTCTAGCCAGAAGACCTTGATGCCCTTGTCGTAGTAGTTCTTCTTTGCGGTTTGCCAGATAAACTTCTGGGCTTCGGGGTTGGTGGCGTCGAAATGCGTGATGTCGCCGTCGCACTGCATGGCGATTCGTAGGCCGCGATCGTGCCGGATGAGGAGGCCTCGCTCGAGCATCTCTTGGTAGTTCACGGATGTAGTCTCGACGGTAGGCCAGATGGATACCATTAGCTCCACGTTGAGTTCCTTGAGTTCTTTGATCATAGCATCTATTGTTTGAAGTCGATGTCAGTTAAGTGTTTATCTATTCATGACGTTGTAAAGGACAGACAACCCACCAGGATCGGGCCAGAATTCAGGATCAAAGCTCCAGTCGCCTTGATGTTTCCAATGGAAGAAGTCAATGACGATCAGGTCCAGCGGAACCTGTCGCCGTTTATATTCCCTCGCCACGTTAAGCAGCTGCTCCTGGTTCCAGTACCGGAGCTTGCATTGCCAGAACCCTAAGCCGTACTCAGGCATCATGGGAACATAGCCAGTCACCTTAGCATACGCCTCCTCAATTTCTGCTGGTGTGTCACCCGCGACGACCCAGTAGTCCAGCGCCTTGGTGGAATATGCCTCGAAGCTCATCGTATTCGTTCCAAAAACAGCCCTTCCAATACCAGGGTTATTCCACAAGAAGCCATATCCGAGGGAAGAGATCGCAAAGGGGACACTGGCTTGGGAGTTTCGATGAGCCAATTCGACATCGGCACCTTTGAGGTTCAAAGATGGCTGTTGATATTGACCCATACCAAAGATCTTTTCCTTAGGATCGAGGGACTCGAAGCGCATGGTGAGGTGGAAATCGCCCCCTAGGATTCCTCGCAGTTCGCGGGCTTCGACCTCCAACGCGCTACATTTCGGGTCTTTGGGATCACGACGATGGCGAGCATATTCCTCCAAGAGCTTATTTCCCTTGGAGTCGTAAATGATGATCTTGCCGCGTTGGGAGACGACCGCTTTGATTTTGCCGTTGGAGATGCTCGCTTCTTTGCCTTCCGGTGTCTCGATGACGGGCTTACTTGCACTGGGTTTTGTGGACAGCGCCCAGTCTTCGGTGGGCATCGACGAGAGTTTCGTAGCCCTCACTCTGAATGCGTTCTCGCCCCATGACTGAATCCAAAGCAGATGGTCATCGAAGCGAAAGATGAGCTTGTCGTCTTCAGCATAGAGCATGGTGGAGAAACTGAGGCCGGTAACTGTATTATAATGGGCCCAACTGGCTCAAGAGCGTTAAGAACAAAATAATGCTATCTGAATGTAAAAGAGACTTCAATCGTTATGCTTGGGGGGATACGGAGCCATTAAATGATCAGAGCGACTGGCGTCCCCTTCGTGGGGACTCAACCCTGCCAACGCAACAACATGTCCCCCTCCAACACATGCAGCAAAGCGACTAGACCGGTGTTCCAACCGTCGGTATATAACGACAATTGGTAGTTCCCCTGCGGAGGAACTCCGGTGGTGGTGGGGGATTTCATTGTTCAACTACTTATCCATATTAACCGGGCGAGCGAGCTCTCTTCGGATTGGCACGATGAGACTATAGCCTAAAGTCCGCCGCGTCTCGTACGACCCCTCAAGGCTAAAGAGGATATCACCAACGGCCTTCATGTGGAGCAAAGCGATGATTTACCTGCGAGATAAAGATGTGGAGGCTCCGATCTCTCGGTTTCTCCCCCCGCATTTACATGATGACGTCCGGTACTCTACTCCATGGATCCATCCATGATATCCCCAGATATTTCCCGATTGGGATCAAGGACGTCTGGTTCTCCAGTCTGAATGTGTATCACACGATTCTCTCTAAGCGTGGCAGTGGTCTTGATCCAGACGACGCCATACTCCTGTCCAACACAAGCCTTCTTTGTTGAAGTCCCCCCACGCTCATCCAGGCCGAGCTTACGCAGCTTGCACTCCGATGACTGACAGGCTCTCTCCGGTTTCAAGCAATCAGATACCCGAGAAACTGCGCCCAGGATCCTCGGTTGAATGACAGTCCAATAAGTCAAACCATTTAACTCTCATTACATATGCCATACCTTGTACCCCATGGGGAACCTTGTCAATCCTGCGGGGTGCATTTCATTTACCCCAGATAATGGACAAACTCCGGTATCTTGGCCACTGCTTTAAAGTTAGAGTACAGGACAATGATGTGTTTGCTTGTGGATGAATGGCATCTCGCGGCACTCATAGGAGTTATAAATACGTCATGTTTCCTCGTGCCTGGAATGCACATTCCACACACCTCTCTCAGGCTTTCTCGTGAGATTTATACTTTACAAGATGCAAATTGACCAAGACGTTCCCAAGGAGCATGCTGCTCACATAGAGCATGCCGTAGGAACTACGGCTCCAAGCAAGGACGCCCTACAGGCCTCTACGGATGAGCATGAAGCTACCGTGTGGGAAGCCCTGAGGCACAACTATAAAGCCGTGTTGTGGTCTGCCGCTATCTCGTTGTCGATCATTATGGAAGGATATGATGTTGGTGAGTATTATCATATATACTGCTATTTCATTGAGTTGCTGGGCCTTTCGTAACGGTGCTATAGCCCTCATCTATCAGTTCTTCACATACCCTGCATTCCAAGAAAAATTCGGATCATACCGTCCAGAGCAAGGAGACTACATAGTTTCAGGACCCTGGCAGGCAGGTCTCAGCAATGGTGCCAATGTCGGTATCGTGATTGGCGGCTTCATGAACGGCTACTTGTCTACAAGATTTGGATACAAGCGAGTCCTTCTGGCAGCCCTCTTCTTTATGAACTGGTTCATTTTCCTTCTCTTCTTCGCTCCGTCAGCGCCCGTGCTGCTCGTCGGGCAAATCCTGTGCGGGCTCACTTGGGGCATTTTTGCGACATCATCACCAGCCTACGCCTCGGAAGTATGTCCACTTGCTCTCCGTGGATATTTGACTTGCTACGTGAATCTCTGCTGGGCCATGGGTCAATTTATCGCCTCCGGGGCCCTTTACGGCTTGCTTAAGATCGAAAGCGAGTGGTCTTACCGTATTGCCTATGCTCTACAATGGATCTGGCCTGTTCCTCTCTTCCTTCTTATTATGTTTGCACCAGAGTCCCCATGGTGGTTAGTACGAAACAATCGTGTGGACGATGCCTATAAATCTCTTGCCCGACTCGATACCAGAGGGCGCGAATCACACCAGAGAACCCTAGCTCAAATCATGCATACCCTTGAGCTCGAGTCAAAGTTGGAGTCCGGATCTAGCTATCTAGACTGTTTCCGAGGCATCGACCGGCGCCGTACCGAAGTTGTCTGTATGAGCTTCGCCGGTCAAGTCCTGTCGGGCTCGGCCTTTGCGTACACTCCTACCTACTTCTTCGTCCAGGCGGGAATTAGCACCGAAAATGCCTACCAAATCACGGTAGGAGGTACGGCGATATCCTTTGTCGGGACTATCATCTCGTGGTTCTTGCTGACCCGGTTTGGTCGACGCCAACTATACGTGACTGGCATTGCCTGTTTGACCGGTTTCTTGTTGATCATCGGCATCACTGCTGCGGCATCGGAGTCCAGCAGCGCGAAATGGGGTCAAGCTGCTTTGTGTTTGGTTTGGCTCTTCACCTATTCCGTCACGCTGGGTCCTGTTACCTACACTATTATCTCTGAGACGTCGTCCATTCATTTGAGGGCAAAATCAGTTTGCCTATCCCGCAACGTCTACAATATCACCAATATCGTTGCCCAAGTCGTCGAACCTTATCTGATCAACCCGACCGAGGCTAATCTGAAGGGTAAGACGGCGTTCGTCTGGGCAGCGACCGCAGCGGTGACCACCATCTGGGCATTCTTCCGACTGCCGGAATGCAGAGGCAGGACTTATGATGAGCTGGACGTGATGTTCCATCAGAAAGTACCCGCCAGGAAATTCGCTACGTATCAGGTCAATGCGCATGATGCGGATGCACTGAAGACGAGTTCAGCGGAAGGTGTTGTAGACCATAGTGGGAATAAAGATTGAACGAAATGTATCAGAGCAGGAGTAAATTCGGCTGAAGAACGATGGAGGTGAACTTAATTCAGTGCTATTGAGTTATCATACACTTAAACAACATAAACGTTTATGAGTGATTTGTAGGTACCAACTAAAAGGAAGTCCGTCGCCGCCTCCGAGCGGTGAGCCCAAGGTTGACTTCTGCTCATCGCCGACACTTCCAAAGCTTCAGTTCGCGATTGTTTCTTATCTTTCTCATATCCCCCTTCTTCTTCACTTTATTATTCGTAAAATTTTTCCCGGGTTACATCTTTGCCTGCTACACATCTTTCTTACCGTATCCACAATATTCCTTTCAATCCGCAAGTGACCCTCCCCCGCAATGGAGGTCGCCGGCATACAACAGCCTCCCGCCTCCAACGGTAACCACGCCATGGATGCGTCAATGGATATCGACATGGACTTGGACCTTGGCCCATTGCCGGAAGCCGAAATGATCGAAACTGTGAGTATGAATGCATCCAAATTGCCCACCGTGCCTCGTCTAACCCTCGTCGCGCGACTCAGGACCCTGCGGGCGGAACAGTTCAGGATGGAGCCGTAGATCCTCAAAGCTCAGAAGCCCAGTACGAGAAAGTGCACGTCAGAGGTGTCGACGAATTAACGACGGATAACATCAAACAATTTGCGACCGAGCACTTCACCCTCGAAGCGCCTTCCCGGGTCGAATGGATCGATGACACTTCGGCAAATATCATCTACTCGTCGCCTGAAATCGGTCTCCAGGCTTTGTCGGCCTTTACGCAGGCTAGTGAAGAGGAAGATACGTCTGAGTTACCGGCGTTGCGACTCCGATCCGCTAAGCTCCTCTCTTCCCACCCCGATTCCGTACTCCAGGTGAGATCGGCCGTGAAGACCGATCGCAAGAAGCCTCGCGCCCATGAAGCCAGTCGTTTCTACCTTATGCACCCCGAACACGATCCTCGCGAGCGCCTGCGACGTGAATTTGACGATAGACGACGTCAAGGTGGCGGAGACGATGGGGATTACAGGCGGAGACGGTTCGACGGCCGGGAACTGCGGCGACGGAGGGATCGTGACGGAGATGAACTTATTAGCGCTAATATGTATGACGATTCGGGGGCAGCTAGCACGGATTATCCCGAGACAGGAAGAGGTCGCGATGAGCGAGGCCGGCGGCGGGACCGGGACCGGGAATTGTTCCCATCGGATGAAGGACGTCCTTCCGGGCGTCTTCAGAATCGCAGTGCTTCTCCGGGTCGAGATACCTTGATGGAAAGCGGATATTCAGAGCATGACCGTCGCGACTCGCGCAAACACTTCCGTGAGCGATCGCCTCAGATCGATCGCCGGAATAAAGGCAAGGAACTCTTTCCATCCTCAAAACCCTCCGGCGCCGATGCCGATGCCAACTCGCGAGAGCTATTCCCGAATAAACCAGCGACCAGTTATCTCAAGAAGGAGCTGTTCCCTAGCAAGCACAGCAATCATCGTCGGTCGGATGCCATTGATGCTGCAGATGAGACGGCAGACCTGTTCTCGAAGAGAATCTCAGTCCCTCTTGTGGATGGTTCTCGGGATCAACGACGGAACAAAAACGTTGAGCTTTTCCCAGACTCGGAGGAGAGCGAAGTCAATATCCGGGGAGCAGCTGGCCCAGACCAAGGCTTCTCGATTCGTGGCGCGGCGAATGGTCTCTCAATTAAAGGACGAGGCGCATCTGTTCGCGAGCTCTTCCCATCCAAGTACAAATCCAACGCTGGCAAGGAGCTGTTCTCGGATAAGATAGAGGGACGAGGAGGCCCACGCCGGAGGGCGGAGGATATGTTCAGCTGAAAAGCATTTTAGAGATTGCACATCGGCGAGGAACGTGAATTTACACTCATTCAATATAATCGGGAATAAGGGGAGGGGGCCTTTGAGAATCAGGTAGAAAACGTGTCTAATGACGCCGTCCAATTTGTGATACCATTTACTTTCCTCTTCTCGTTTTACTTTCTTTTATCTTTTTCTCCGGCGTCTTCATATCTGAATTTCTGCATACTTGGTTTTTTTTTAAAAACATGTATTATAGATTCGTTAGATTCTTGAAAACTCAATGTGCCGTACATACGGAATGATATGATCCGAACCTCTCGAGATAAAGCTATGGTTATCGATCCCGGTGTTCATCACGACTTTCCAACTACACCTTAACTTTTAACATCAGGAAAAATAAGCCGAGATGCCACCAACTTCCCAAAGCCCCCCGTTGGCGAGTATTCTGGTAGCCCGCTTTCTACGAACCAACAACTACGCCGAGTCTTTAAATGCATTCATCCGTGAAGCGGGATTGCCCGCCGACGCGGGGCAAGTAACAGACAACAAAGAGGGAAACAATTGGACGATCGAGAGCGTACTCGAAGAGAAGAAAGCCTTTGACCAGACTCTGGGATTTGAACGGTACGGAGAAGAGGAAAAGGATGAATGGAGTGTTCCTGGTGAGCTACTTTAATTTTCTCATGACATAAATACATACATTCATATATATATATATATATATATATATATCTCCCAGTACCTAGTTAAATAAAAGCCTAGCTAACAAGGCACACAGCACCTTCCAACCCCAAGATCGTAGAGACACCCACATCATCAAACATCCTCGCCTGCTCCGTCGATGCATGGAGACACCCACACGGCAATGAGGATAACCAAGACACCACCTCATCTCGTCTCATCGCCACAGGCGCAGACAAACAACTGCATCTCTTCAAAACAGAAGCCGACAATGCCATCTTCAGTTCACTCCCCGGACTCTCCGAGTCCCCAATCCTATCATACGTCTCTATCCGGAACGGAGCATACGTCTGTCTAACCAACATGTCAGGCCAGCTCCTCTTACAAAGGGATGCCGAGATCCTCGACAAAAGAAAAGACCACTCCAAATACGCCGTCAAAGTAGTCGCATTCGAAGAGCACGACGACAACGACTCCCCCCAAAGACCTATATGGGTAGCCACAGCCGGCTGGGACTCCAAGATCCATCTCTACCGTCTAGATATCCCAGACTCAGACTCAGACTCAGACTCCGTAGCCATCGGCGAGCCCATCGCATGCATCACCCTAGCTTCGAACCCGGAGTCATTGCTCTTCGTCCAACACCCCGATACAAAGGAACTACTTCTACTCGTCTCCCGGCGCGACTCAACCCATCTGTATTACTACCGGGTCCAACAACAACAACAGCAACAGGACCCACCATCCACCCCATATGAATGCATCCTCCTCGGCAAACAGAACCTGGCTCCCCATTCCAACGCCTGGATCGCTTTCTCCCCGTCCTGTCTCGCCCTCAGTCCCCATGACCCGGGCCTCTTGGCCGTCGCTACCTCAACTTTACCGCATATGAAGGTCATCATTGTGCGGCTTCTGTTCCCATCTACGGATGGCTTGGATGCTAGTGCGTCCGGCCGGGAGCCGGAGACACAGGCTACGCAGGCTTTTGCGGCGCTGTCGCTTCAGAATCGCGAGGATGCTGCCATTGTGATCCAGGCGAATACGTTTGCGCCGCAGACGGCGTATTCGACGCCGCAGGTTGTCTGGAGACCGGATGGTTCGGGGCTTTGGGTTAATGGGGATGATGGGGTGATTCGGGGAGTGGAGGCTAGGACTGGGAAGGTGGTTACTGTGTTGAAGGAGGGGCATGTGGTTGGGTCTAAGATTCGGACGATATGGGCGGGTTGGGTGGATGCTTTGAGGGATGGGGAGGTTGTTAGGGAGGAGTGGTTGGTTAGTGGAGGGTTTGATAGGAGGTTGATTGTTTGGAAGACTTGATTGTATTGGTTACTTCTACTTGAGTTTGTGTGGAGATATCAAGGCTGCGTATCATATCTGACGGTCCCGGTCAACGTCATTTGCGATCAGATAAGGGAGAAGAAACACTCATGACAACATAAGAATGAATTGATAGAATATAAATAAATTGATTGCTATTCTGATCTACGAAATGTAGCCCTCCGTCCATGCACCCTCTCGCCACAGAAGTAAAAGGGAGAGGGTGTTTGGTAATTGGAGGGCATGGAATCTTCTCTCGGCACGTTGAAAAAATCCTTCAGCAAGCGCGCATTAAGATAAGCACGAAGCTGTACACACATATGCCTGTTCATACGAACATTGAAAGCCCATCAGGGGGCTGCGGAATTGCACAACCTACTGACCAAAACACACAGGAAGAACGGAAATAAGTGTCAGGCCCATGTCGTGGAATCGAATCATATTGTCTTATTTAGCAACCGTTGCGCGGAACCAGCCAGAGGGTCTATCCGACAGGACGCCTGGGATCATGGCACGTGTGAAACACCAACTCAATGCGCTCCCATTTTTAATTCATTTCTAAATTAAGTTGATTTATGCGATCTCACGCTTGCCCTCCTTGCGCTCCTTCTGTAGCAGTTGTTAGTCGATCTTCTCTCTCTCTCTCTTTTTTTTTTTTTATCATTATGGTTGGAGACAGGTCGCAGATGGTGTTGGGAGGGGAGATTTGTCAACGTACCAGAGCCTTCATGGTACCGTGAAGAGCGTGACGGTGGTTGCGGCGGAACTTGGGGTCAACACCCTTGAGGGAGGGGTAACGGTGAGTCTTAGGCTTCTTGATACTGTTGCGAGTCAAGTATGTCAGTGGCCTGCTCTTTATCGTTTCATTCCGTAGTGTCCATTATCGGAGGGGTATTGGCTGAATATGTTGCATTGCTGGATCTGATTTTCGATCATCCCGAGTTCGCCGTCGAAATAAACCGCCCACCACACCCAACAATACAACATATCGCGGCCACCCCACTCCGGTCGAAAGAAGTCGTGTTTCATGAAGGATAAGGATCGAATGGTACGCACCCGTTACGGTGAGCCTTCTGGCTGTTGTGGTGCTGAGACGCGTTCTTAGACTCTGTCAAAAGGGAAGACGTCAGCGATTCCGAACAACGAAGTCCAAAGATCCCGTCATTTCGGGAAATAATCCCAGGATCAAAATCTCCATTTTCATTCAGCAGGAGAACCGGGGGATCACCACATACTGGCCATCTTGTCGGATTTGTCGCAACTGGGAGACGGTTGACGATGAGTTGGCGAGTGAGGTTACCCTGAACTGAAGCAGAAGGCGCAGAGACTCTCTCCGCCTTTAGGGCTCCCGTTTGTGGGATTTCGCTTACCGTCCGCGGCTTAGCGCGTTTTGATGCCTGGCGCTGCCTTATGTCCTTAGGTGTATATGTATATCCTTACCGTTTATTTAAACACAGTTACTGTTACGTAGGTTATAGACCGATTCTGAAGCCTTATATATAAAGAGGTCATTTGGAAATACTATTAAATATTTTCATAGAGGTCATACTATATAGTTCAAGACAACTCGAAGATGGGGTCCTCCATGGGTATCTCTAAAGAAAAGGTAATCATCATCGGCCCGTGACCGGATGACTAAAGAAATGCGATGCCAACTCTATTTGTTCACGTGATATCAAACTATGTGATTAGTTTTAAGACTCATACTGCCGGCTAAGACCCGTTTAATATCAGAGCAACGATTGTTTGAAAGTACGTTAACCTGAAATAATCCATAATTTCGAACCTCGAGACTGTGATGGTTTGTTCGAGTTGACTATTGGGTTCCCCATTAGAGCAACACTATATAGATTGCAATCATGCATCCGCACGTAACACAACATCACATAGAAAATATAAGAAAAAAAAAATCAGGGAAGAAAGATCAATAGCCAATGGCTAGTAATTCATGTAGCCGACATTGTCTGTTGATAGTTGATAGGAAGAGTTGTTGTAGAAAAGACTGGCTGGGGAATTCGGAATGTCCGCCACGTGACCGGGCAAGAGCCGCTAGGGAACAACCGGCATCCGACTTCGACCTTTGCAACTCAAACACAGGCCCAAGAGGGATACCATCACCGTCGTCTCCTCCCCATCCATTGCAAGATGAGCTCTCTCCGCTTCGCTCGCTCTGCCCTCCGGGCCCGTCCCTCTGCCTTCCGCGTTCCTCTCCAGCGCAGAGGTTACGCCGAGGCTGTGAACGACAAGATCAAGCTTTCCCTGGCCCTTCCTCACCAGGTACGCCCGATCCCGTTGTTCCCTCTTTGCACACCTATATGTTGCCTTAACTGACCATTTTCCTACTTCATAGACTATCTTCAAGTCCACCGGCGTGTACGTTTGTTCCGAACCCCGACCTACCGAGAGTTAAAGGTCGGCCCCTGCCTCTTCCGGAGCCGTACTTACGATCTTTTCCATGTAGTGTCCAGGTCAACATCCCCGCCGAGTCCGGAGAGATGGGTGTTCTCGCCAACCACGTTCCCTCCATTGAGCAGCTCAAGCCCGGTCTTGTTGAGGTCGTTGAGGAGGGCGGTGCTACCAAGAAGTTCTTCCGTACGTCCGACCGCCCATGTTGACATCGCGCCGCGAGCCAGGACTGGTCTATGCGGCCACATCAATGCAATACTGAACATCGCTGACATGCATACCTCGTGCTACTACAGTCTCCGGTGGATTCGCCGTTGTCCAGCCCGACTCCCAGTTGAGCATCAACGCTGTTGAAGGTTTCCCTCTTGAGGACTTCAGCTCCGACGTATGTCCCGAACCTCGACCTGTATCCTGAGATACGTACTAACGAACCTTTTTTTTCCGACACAGGCCGTCAAGAACCAGATCGCCGAGGCCCAGAAGATTGCCAGCGGCAGCGGCAGTGAGCAGGATATCGCTGAGGCTAAGATTGAGCTCGAGGTAAGTAGAACTCATGTTTATTTGGTGGAAACGAAATGAGCGGTCAGCTAATTTTTTGCATAGGTGCTCGAGACCCTCCAGGCTCACCTCAAATAAATTACCTGATGTACATATCCACTCGCGATTCCAGCCTTGAACGTGTAGAACTATAACCAATTATTATTCTTTATTGACCTCTCAAGCACGTGCTTCGATAACATCCTTACTATTGTTTTACCTATTTAAGATTCTTTGCACTTTTCTGGGTTGCAGGCTTCGCTGCACACCTTCCACCGCAGTCATGACTCCTGCACTTAATAATTTACGCGCCCCCTTCCCACCTCACTGAACTATAGCTATACAATATCTAATAAGATCACTTGTTCATACTCTATTTAGTCAACTATTCACCATAATATCTTTCCACCGACAGTATGTAGCATATATTAACACAGAGCATGTCAGATTCAACACAGATACAACCGCATAAGGATCCAACACCTGCTCCAGGGCGCTCCGTTGACAGTGCGAGACATGTGAGAACCCAAGGATTCAGTCAGCTTCTTTCAAAGCACCTAAGGATGAGCCCAAAGGCCAAAGTGAAGCTGGTACAAAACCCAGACACCTTTTCCCCTCAGGATTCAAGCTCGGACGACTGCACGACTTCCTGACTTACATCACACCAGTTTGAGATGCTTTCTCATGCTATGTTACTCCTTACTCTGAGCGACAATCTTTTCTTTTAGTCTGTCTTACTAATCCTTTCTTGGAGTGGCTTTCTAATGTTATTCTTTGTTTTGAGTGGTAATCATGTGGTTAAAGCTCGCATTAATCCTTGCTTTAGGGTCATCATTAAGAAGAAGAAGGTTCTCTTCCGAGATATCCAGGTCGGATATCACACGTGTAATACAGACATGACTTTTCTACAATAATAGTCATCGACTCTGTTGAAGTGTGCACACAGTTTAAAGGCAACAGTGGTCTTAAAGGAACAACATGCACGAAACGAACCCATTAGAAAGCTAAGGTCCAATGTGAAGGTGAATACATAACAACATATCATGACAGGGAAAGAAAAGCAACTGGTAGGCAGATGAGAAAAGCCACAAAGATGTATAAAAGAAAAACGCCATGTACTGAATCGACATATCCCTCCCATCCAGAACCCATATCCATAGCCATATCCATTTCCTCGTCCTGTATTTGAGGTACGTACGTACATTTTCGGCGTAGAATTTTCCTGTCCATGATTTTATATCTCTGTTCAGGGCCCGTTTGGTTATCATAAGCAGTGAAGAGTGTTTCTCTAACTCTTCTGAGTTGTGGTACCTAGGGCTAAAAGAAAGACTAGACAGAATCAACGTTTGCATGCATCATTAAGTTGCCATTCCATCGTGTCGATATCAAGGGGTAGATCGTAATAACATGAAGAACAAAAGAGGAGGGGAACACAACGGGGGCGAGATATACGACATCAAAATCAAGTAAGCATCTATACATGTGAAAAGAGGTTCACGGGGAAAAAGAATTGCCCGCCGAAGATACGTCACATCTGTCAGGTGAATTCTACACTGTGTTGTCTTTCTTGTCGGGCGCGAGCTCGTTCCGCTCGTCTTCGTCGCCGATTGCTTGCGTAGTCTCCGCTTGCTTCTGTCCCGGTGAATGTACCAGGGGATGTGATGCTCCCTGGGCCATACGGCAGACTGGAAGGTGCATGTGGCGGGGGAGGAGGTGACATATGGCTCATGTTTTGGGGAGGGGGAATCGGTGGTGGAGGCACGCTCCCAGATGGGGCCGTGGACATTCCAGCTGCGGCAGCGGCGGCGGCAGCTTCCTGTTCTCGCTGCATTCGTTCGTGCTGTTGACGCTCTAATTCCTCAACGCGGCGCCACCGGTCGTAGTTACCTTCGTTGCCTGACAGGGAGCTTGCACTTCCGGCGCGACGACGAGAGTTTCTCCGTTCCCTACGTCTTGCTTCGCGACTTGCGGCTGCCTCTTCCTCGGTTAACCTTCTGAGCGTGACATGCCGGCCATCGTTGTGCATTTTGACTTTCACCGATACCGGAGGGGAGCTCGTCTGATCATCTCTGTGTCTACTGCTGCTCCGGTGTCTGCTGCTGCTCCGGTGTCTACTGCTGCTCCGGCGGTGATGGCTGGAGGCAGCACCCAGGGCACTTCCAGCAGCTGCTCCTGCCGCAATATTGGAAGGATCAAGTCGAGAGGGAGCTTGACCTGGCATTTCCGAGGTTGGCGCACCTGGGGGTAAATCAGAATGATGCCCATCGATTGCCCCGGACATTGCCGGATCCCCAGTTAAAGCTGATTCTCCATATGAGGGCCCCCGCGGAGGTCGTGTCAGCTCAGTAGATGAGATGTCAGTCGCGGTGAAGGAGTCGGCTCGTCTGCGAGGTGGGTACCCATCTCCAGTATAGCGTCGTTTGCTGTCGGCTCGTGCAAGCCTTTCCTCCTCTCTCTCCCGACGGCGCATATCTTCTACACGACGATCGTCATCATTTGCCTTGCGACGGGTGAACATGTTCTTGAGAGCTGCAAAGGCACCAGCACCAAATAGGGCATTTCGGGCTCGATGAGGTCGGTCATGGTCATTATCAGAAAAGTAAGTTGAATTGTAGTAGTATGACGACCCGGGACTTTGAGGTCTACTCGGGGGTCGGCTCGGTGGACGATTGAGAGGGGTTCTGTGGCTTGGTTCGGGCCGTCGTCCATCGTCCATCCTACTCATTGTAGTCTCCGTCATGCTGTCACTTCGGTTATGGGCGGGTCGATACCGGCCAGATTCGGCATCATTATCTCGGTTTCTTCTTCTGTCGAAGAATTTCTTAGCGAGGAAGGCACCACCGCCCACGGCACCAAGTTTGAGTAGTTTATCGCCCCAGCCTTTACGCTGGGCTCCTTCATCTGAGTACTTTTCCGAAAGGTAAGACGTTTGAGAGTCCTCATAGCCATCCCTTCCCCTACTCCGAGAGCGACGCCTGAAGAGTGAGGCCAGGCCTGCCCCTGCGGCTCCCGCGGCAGCCATTCGTCCGAAACTGCTCTGGCGATGACCAGCAGGGCTGGGGCCAGGGGGCCCAGAGACATAGCTATGTCGACTGTCAAGGTCAGGTCCCGGTGGATATCCCTCATCATCATACAGGTACGACAGGACGAAAAACGTAACCAAGAGAGCAAAAGCGGCGACGGAATATAGTATGAATAACGACTTTGGCGAACCATAAAGGGTGAGTCCTAAGGGAATCTGGATAAGTCCTAGAATAGCAAGGGCTCGGCCAATCCATCGGTGGATCTGACGGATATGAAGTTAGCTCTCGAGATGAGTGTTGGGGCAATAGTGTTCTTCGCAACTTACTACCAATTTCAACGGTACTCGGTATCTTTGTCGCTTGCTTTCTACCTTATGAAGGAACCAGCCCCACATAATCTGAAAGACAACCATGACATAGATCGCCAGTCCAATTCCGTGGTGAGGGTTTGTTAGGCTCCTTTCCGGGCCGACTGCAAACCATCCGCAGACGAACACCACCGTGCTTAGCAGTAGAGTTAGGACCTGGAACCAGGCATGCAACTTGAATGCCACGAACGGATTCCACCGAGAGTAGTATCGAATGATTAATATAGATATTGGAACAAGACCTAGAAATACGATAGTCCCAATAACTCCATGTACGACTATTAGGGTACGATAGTAGGGCATATCCTTGAATCGGTTTCCCATGCCTGAAATCAATGTAAGAAAGAGAGCTTCCCAAGGTCAGAATTCCACATACCATTGTATTGCATTGTGTCAAAATTGACCCCCATCAAGTTTGGCAAGAGGAATGTGTCACGCCCTGCGTCCCATGTCCCATCGCCGACATGCAGAGTATCCGAGGCATACGTGCTGCTCCCAGGAGCCGTAAGATCCGAGTTACCAGTCATGGTGTCCAGTAGTTTTGTATGTTCCGACTATATGCAACTATGCTGTCTCAAATAGCGATCTTGCGACACTGGAATGCCGGAATAGATTCCCGAAGGAGATCTAATAGATCCCCCACACCAGAGAATGCACCATGCGCCAGTAAGAGATATTGATTTGAGCACAATACGTCAGTGACCAGATGAATTGTAGAAAGCGATCGCAAAGGGCACGATAAATCGAAAGTGGTTTGCTCGGCTGAAACTGATGATCAGATGTTTACCACCGTACGCGCTTCAGGATGGGGATGTAGATAGTAAGACGAAAGAAAGGCGGGGGAGGTAAGTGAGGATGGATGAGAAGTTGAACAACCGGGCCAAACAGCGATGAATTCTGAACAGTTAGATTCAAGTCCAAAATCAAATTAATTGACCAAACAGGGGAACCATACCAACCGCAGTTTCGATCTTGTCTGCCACGGTAGGGGAGATTGGAGGCTGGAATGTAGATGCATTTGGATTCTTCCAGCTCCGATCAACTGTTTTCCGTTTGGGGTTTAGCGGGCCAGCGCATATCCCGGACAACCAGCCGCTGACTCAGCCATCCTCAACCGCCGACCGCCTGCCGCTTTTGGCAGTATCGCGTGCCGTGCCGGGTCTTTCATATCTTATCAGTCACTCCCCAATCGATGACGACTACTCCAAGTGCCATGAGTCCAGTCTCATAGTCCTTTCTATCTATTTTTTTTTTAATAAGTATTCGAGAAAACACCTGGTGGAGTCTTCATTTCCGGACTCTTCAATGAATTGGCGGAAAGATCCGACACGAAGGGAAACATCGATTACCTTACCTTGACCACTGGATTGATAAGCGACTACAAAGTTCGTGATAGCTCACACCCCGTTATCGCCGAGGCAAGGAGGTTCTGATCCTCTGGATTCCGGTCGCTTGGCGAAGTGAAGAGGCGGAATTTTGGCGTTGGTCCTTCCTCTCGTCCATTTTACAAACTCCCAGCGTGTGCAAATCACACGGTTCCGAGATCATGTCGTCCCAACTAGAGATCTTCCTCAAGGCCCTTTCTCGGTATGTGCTGCGGACGTCGGCTAAGGCCTTGGCGAGAGAATACCCCCGCTCTACTGACTCAGTGACACTGATACATTCTTTGGTACAGCCTCTTAGGATGGATATAGTACGTCTTCACCTTGTGCTAACGTTCGCTGTACCTTCTGAAATGGCTTTGACGACGTATTGAACGTACCCGAAAACTGACCCGCGAAGCACGCTATGTTGGTCCGCATCCTTCTATCCTCAATTAATCTCCAACATTCAGCGACGTTCGACAGTTGGATTGGCCATTGATTTCCCCACCATTAATACTTTGGGATATGTGTACTACACTGCGTATACAGCCGCCTTCCTATACTCCCCAGTGATTCGTCGCCAATATGCCGCTCGTCATCCCGGGTCCGAAGGGTCTACCGTGCGATTTAATGACTTTGCTTTTGCGGTTCACGCTCTTATTCTCAGTGCCTTAACTTACACACAGTTTTGGCCCGCGATCTGGGGATTTAAGGTTTCGCGCTTCCAACGAGTTAGTAAGCCAGTCGCAGGCTTGTTCTGGGGCTCTATCGTGGCCGTTGCTATTTTAATCTTTATCGTCCTTGGTAAAAGCCCCGATGGGGGCTATGATCCATCCACCTGGGGATGGATCGACGTGGTAAGCAGCCAAAAAAAAAAAGGTCGATGTACCTGCTTATTGCTAACACACGACACTATCTATTTTAGGTATACGGTCTATCCCACGTAAAAGTACTGGTCACCGTCACCAAGTATGTGCCGCAGGCGTGGGTAAACTATAAGCGCAAATCCACTCAAGGGTGGCACATTGGTCAAATCTTGCTGGACATAGCGGGCGGTGTCTTCTCCTTGGTCCAATTGTTTCTTGACTCGAGTTTCCAGGACGATTGGAGCGGCATCACGGGAAATCCTATCAAGCTCCTGCTGTCGAACATCTCGATCTTTTTTGATATTCTCTTCATGGTCCAGCATTACATTCTCTATAGGGACGCAGGCGATAAAGGAACCAAGCACCAGGACCCAGATGTTACCACCCCTTTGTTGACCGAGTCCAACGGCGTACAGAGGACAGAAGATGTCTGAGAGGACTGTGGAGAGATGCTGATAAGGCTGTGTAGTATTGGAAGGGATGATATACATTTCTATCTTTTAGTATCTTTCTTTTTTTCTTTTTCTTTTTTCCCATTTTTGGATTGCTTGATAGACTGTTGTTCTTCTGAATTTGCCGCTTAACGGCGAGAGAATGTCTTCAAACTACGATGATAAGCGCCTGAGATCTCTATTAATCTCGGGTGAAGGGCATGAATAGACATGAATGTGATAGAAGTGAAGAAGTTTGTGGGGCAAAAAAACGCTCTTCCAGTGACATGTCAGCTGAAACATCGGACTAGACTCGACCCGTTCCGTCCCAAGAAGGGTAGTAGTTTGTTGCACCAGCGCCTGTATAGAATGAGATGCAGAACCGACATTGTCATCAACTGATGAACTACTAGTAGTTACCGTGACACCGCTCTTTTGCAGCTGTAGTGGCGCACCATTTTGCTTATCCCTCCAATGGCGAGGGTGATGGCGCGTCCCCACAGGGGAATCCACCAATACGAGAATTGGATCTATGCATATCTGTTGGAACCGCTGCAAGACCGGTGGGAATGAGGCTTATCCGCTAGGACCCGATGAGCGGTGGACATAACTGGATTCGGTCATGGTCATGGCGTCCAACGATTTGGCGGGACATTTTTTGGCTTTGAAGCCCCAGCCTTGCGCGGGGGGCCTGAGGATGCCAATTGCATATTGTTTCCCCAATGTACAACAATTGGTACAACCACAAAAAAAAAGGGTCCTCTATCTTCCATGGACCGTGAAGACAAAGAGTCGGAGATCCCGGCTTGGGTCAAGGACAAGTCCGGAGGGGCTGAGGCTCTTGACCTTTAACTTCCCCTCGCTTATAGATCCATGGACGGGCTTCCAGGGTACCTCCGAACACGGGATGACTTATGCAAGGTCTCTGTAACCATTCCAGCACCAGTCACAGCCCACAACCATGTAATGCATAGCTTGGGGAATACTAGCGCGATGACTCGAATGAGAAGTCCTAATCCAGTCAAGTCACAAAGACCGTAACCGTGGTCTCGGCATGAGTTTTTCAGCCCTACCAGGGAAAAGGCCCAAGTGGAAAGTGGGACAATTTTGGTTGCCAAAGAAGTAAGAACACACTAGTGGTCGGGTGGTTGTCGATCTCTAACCTCTCTATCCGAGCGAGCCAATCAGCACAAGCCACAGCCAGTTTCAGTCTGAATTGGGGTTGGATCCTCAGGCTCTTATTGGCAACCCAACGGAATGAGATGCTAAGAATAATTTATTTCACTTCCTTCCCAAGAAAGTATATTGTTCTGTTATTTTATTGCGTATTTCTTTTTTGACAACTCCATACTACTACTGTGTACTGTCTTGTGTCCCTCCGGATTTGCTCGGACTCGCCCCCAGGGCTCCAGATCATCGCCAAACCGATCGAGTAGGAGTCCACACCTCCCCGGCCTCTTCCCACATCTGTCTCTGATCCTCTCTCTTTCTCTCTTCCCAAGATGCCAATTGCTCATTCGTTCGCGGTATATGACCCAAGTCTAAGTTTAGGATCCTGAGGCGGTTCAAAATGTCTCTGATTATTATTATGATTATAATATTATTAATTCTATTTTTTTTTTTTTTGACTTCCTTCTGGCACGTGGACTCCAACCACACAACAACAACTCGGAAATGGAGAAAGAAACCACTGTTTTCCCTCCTGGCGATCACAAAAAAAATTAAAATAAAATAAAATAAAAATAAAAAAAAAGGACCGCCAACGAAGCATTGGATGTACCTCACAGTCTTCCGAGACACATATCTGGTCCAAAGTCTCTTGCAGACACGAACTCACCACTCATCTAGACCCTCCTCCAACTAAACCCGTTCGACTGTCAGCTCGCAAAAAAACCACTGCATAGCCACCACGTCTTACTCCCTCAAACGGTCTTCCCTACAACGTGGGGCCCCTGTTGATGTCACCAGCTGATATTATATATTTCTTCATCTTTCGGATCGGAGATAGACGTTGGAATCATCATTATTGTTGTTATTATAATCTGGATGATTATTTATGATCTTTTTTTTCCCTTTCTTCTTTACTTCAGTTCTTCTATATCATTGCGTGCTTGCCATCTTTCTTACCGGGCCTTGGATCTACATCTCGGATATTGAAACTGAACTGTGATTCATATCTATATCTACTTCTACTCTACATACACAGACACATACACATCCACATCACTAGTTATTAGAACAACTAGACCTCCACATCCATAACCCAATTGTTCAATCTATCAAAATTCCTCAATTGCATGGGACCATGGACCCGTCAACCACCTTCGATCTACCAGCGGGAGAATACCCAGCTATAGATATACAAACCGGCCTCGGCATCTCTATACTTCCCTCTAAACGCCAATCCGCATACACCCCAGAAGCCTGTTCCCCATACCCACCCCAACAACACCTCTACACCCCACCAACCCTCCAACACTACGTCCTCCCTGATATGTGCGACATGGCCGATCTAATCCCCTACACAATGGAACGGGTGCATCTCCGCGAACCGTCCGAACTGGAGAACAACATGCTGTACGCCCCATTCCGCCGCGCGGGGGACTTCTCTTCCACATCCTCCTCCTCCACCACCACCTCCTCGATACATTACCCAACTTGCGACTCATTCGACAGCACCACAACCAACCCCAACAACACAGGCAATCTCCACCCAAACGACTACTACCAAGGAGGACCATCAGAATACATGCACACTCCATCCTCAATATCCTCCTCCTCTCCCTACTACCCCCCGGACAACAACAGCACCACACCCACATACCCCCCACTCTCTAGTCCAACATCCGCCACAGCAGCCGTAGTCTCCGCCTCTGCCTCATCATCACGCTCGCTCTCCATACCCCCGCAAGGCTCTGCCAACCAAAAAGACCTCACGAACTTCGGCATCCAAAACGCAGACCAGACCTGGCGGTGCGCGTACCCGGGCTGCACGTCGCAGACGATCTTCCGGCGGGGCTGCGATCTCCGGAAACATTACAATCGGCACCGGAAGCATTTGTTTTGTCGGCATCCGGGATGTCCACAGGCTATGGCAGGCGGGTTCTCGAGTAAGAAGGATCGGGATAGGCATGAGGCCAAGCATAATCCGGTGGTGTGTTGCGAGTGGCCGGGTTGTGAGAGGATGTTTAGTCGGGTTGATAATATGAAGGATCATGTTAGAAGGATTCATCGGAGGAGGGAATGATCTCTCTTTTTCTTTTTCTTTTTCTTTTTTATGTTTTTGAGTTCTTTCCTTTCCTTTTCTGTTTGTTTGGTTTGTTGCTTATATTGGATTTAATGATGGGTGGGCGGTTATATATATGGATGAACCTGTACCAGTATTATTAGACGATTTTCCTTTTTGTCGATGAAACGTGTATTTCTGTCAACTAGTTCAGCTGGCTATCACTTTTGACTCCTAAAACAGAGAATGGAGTCTCATGACTATTTCCGCGAAAAGACGCCGCTATTCCCTAGATGTACTTGTAAGAAAAGAGATGGGAAGAAAAACCATCTCTGAAACGCAAAATGAAGCATAGCGTATTTTGGGAAGAAAGAAATAAAATAAAAAATGATTTAGAAAAAAAAAAAAAAACCTTCACTAGACGCCCAACCTCGATTCCTGATTCCTGTACAATCCCACGCTTCTTCATAAACGTAGCGTATATCCGGACATGAAACGAATGACAAACGATAAATGTGGCTCGTAACTCTAGACATCTGGTATCTCGAACAAGTAATTAATGGACAAGACAAAAAGGAGAATAGTATGAGAAATATGGCAGAGATTCATAATGCATGCACAGTGTACATCAAAAAGGTGGGGGGATAGAAGGCAAAACATCGCGAAGATGACCGCGTCATTCTCGATAATAGTGAGAAAGCCATCTTCTCACAGGTAGAAGTCGATAAGTATGATGCGCATATCATATAAACATTTAATCAAGAGTTGATTCGACGGCGGCGACCTCGCGCGCTGCCTTCTGGTCTTTGCGAAAGGACCAGCCGGAGCTGGGGATCATCCTTGCTTTTGTCCACATGATGGACCCGCACGTGTCTGATTCCGTCAGCATCTTCGACATCATTGCGCATGGCAAACAAGGGGAAGCTTACCGCTGGAGATTGTCGGGTCGTGGGTATTTATGTTGCTGGTCTGGACAGAACGGGCACACATAACCGGGGGAATTATGGACCAGGCCATGTCTTATCATCTCGTTCTTGCGTTTGAACCCTTTTCCGCCGATTCCACGAGGACAGCCCTCAATGGGACAGAAATGGGGTCGGTCTTGCGAGTGAACATTCGCATGGGAACTGTTCTGTATCAGCTTGAGCTCTGGAAAGCACTCAACAGATAGCTAAATTAATATATGATGGCGAAGTGGTGAGACCTACTTCAATAGGTATTGAGTTTGAAAAGGCGGAGCGGTGCACCCCGGGTACTGACATTTGTAGGCTCCCGAGGTGAAAACCCCATTGTGTTGCGGACTTGGATTGTATGATGACCGTTCACACGTCCCCGCTGGGGTTTGGTCCGTGGGTGTTGGATAACTCGTCGCAGGGCTTTTAGCTTCACAATGTGCGATGTCATAGGTGGATGTAATATAAGGTATGTCGGATTTCTGAGGTCTCCAGTACGAGCTTTGCGCTGCCGGAGATGACACGGCTGATAAGTCTTTGGTACTCGCAGGTGACAGATGTGAGTAAGGGCTAGGAGGGATCTGGGGAGGAACGAAATGGCCCGGCCGTTGATGCTCCCAGACAGGGTCACTCCTGAGTCCCGGTGGAGAACTAGCCGTGACAGGTGGTAGAGAATAGGGAGAGGAGCCATTGACGCGTACAGCGGGCTCATTGACATGAGCTATCCCACGTAGTGCAGTCTGAATGGGGGGCAGAGTGGTGGTATTGTCCGGTGAGTGGAACGGGGGCAACACATCCTGCGACTGATGTACGGAGATTGCATATTGACGTAAAGGCGGGCTGAACGGTTTCTTCTCCGTGATACTGGGAAGGGCAGACGGTGGTGGTTGGGAAATCTTTGGAGACAAGATTTCCGTTTTCACGCCAGCGCGCGCGTCAGGAGAAGGAATGTGTGATTTCACTGGGATCTCTGGAGGCTCCAAGGGGTCATCACTGGGCTTTGGTAGATCTAACAGCGCAAGAGCACGCTTAGCTGCTTCACTCGGATCCGTCTCTGATTGAGGCTCTCTAGGCTTTGCCGGCTCCACCACGGGGCTCTCCAGCTTTGGCTTCTCAGGCTTAACGATAGGCTTATCCAGTAGATCATCACAGAGAATGTCACGCAGGTGCTCTGGACGAAGTGGGTCAGATCTCTCATAATTGGCAATATCAGGTCGGTTAGGGTCTATATAGCTGATCAGCACCGAGTTGCCCTCGTTTGTTTCGGGCTGGTATAGGTTCGATTGAGGCTTACGGGAACCGTCCGGTGTTCCCTCGCCTGGAGAATATTTAAATTCGCCTTCGGGCTCCTTGGCCTCCTTGACTATAAACGGAGGAGTCGGATCTTTGTGGGGCTTATAATCCGGCTTTGTCGCCTCCAGCCCGGGAGAACGACGGTCCTCATCGGGATCATATGATTCTGTCATGGAGGCGGCGGTTTTTGACGCATCAGGCGCGCCGCACCTTCTATAGTTTACTCTGGCCCTTTGAGATCACCGTTTGCTCTGAACCCGTTGAAACACCGGTTCAGAACCTGACTGCCCGCCCAGCGAATGTACAATTAAGGAAATAAATAATTGGGGTGCGCTTGGCCAACCGATTGATCCCCAGATATCCTGTTGCCTGTCAGTTCGCGCCCAGCAAAATATTTTCAAAAGAAATAGACTAGAAGACGGAGACGAATCGCTGAACAGAAATCTGATAAGGATGTTGATGGATTATAACATGTGAAAACCATAGGAAGCAAAAACCCACACCCAGATAAGGAAATAAACAAGGAGAAATGGGGAGGGGAAAAAAGAGAGAAAATAGCAATCCAACTACGGTTGCGGCGACTAATAAGATAAGTAATAGCCCACTCCTGGAGACGTTGTGGGATCAATCAAGCTCCGATGTCAGAAAAGATGGAGACCCCATGAGTGTTACCATGTCGGGTAAACCACCTGACATTAGACCAATCACCACCGCATCGGTGGTGCGTGCAGGAGACGTCCTACTCACAGAGAAAAGGAATGAGGTGCACTTTTGGAGTGTGGAGTCTTGATTTTTTTTTTCACCCTCAAGACACCCCCGACTTTGCCGCTCTTACCGTGGACAGGGCAGATAAGGAAAACATAAACAAATAAACAAATAAGTGAAAGGAACAGGAACAGGAACAAGAGATAGCTCATTAAAGATGCAGAATAAGCTCACCTGCTGAAAGAACTTAAGACACGGAGTACACGGCAGAATTCAGGCACCCGCCGGCTTTAAAGATGAGGCTCAATCGGAGACAATTTGCACGTCACGATTGAGGATACGGAGATGATGCGCCGTCCGCTTGAGATTGAGAAGCGCAAATCTCAAGGAGTGGGTGGGGAGTCGGCGGACCAAATGGTAAGAGGGATAATGAGGATGGGACAATATCCAAGATTCGCGACGATCAAAATGGTGGTGATAATCTAGGCGACGACCCAAGTAGTAGCCGCCGGCTTGGAAACAAGTGGGGGGGCGAAGAGGGAAAACAACAGTGGTTTATGGCACAGGCATAATAATCGCAGCGGCGGCGCCCGTGTGGGTTGCAATGGTTGTCAGATGGACAGGCCAAGAGAAGGGAAATTGACAATAATAATAGTAATCCGAATAGGAATAATAATAAGAAGAAGAAGAAGAAAAAAAAAGAAGGATAACAATAATGATCACAATAATAGTAATGGCATTAAGAGAGCATTACTATTATAATAAAATTATAATGATGGTCGAGAAACGGCTGGTGGAATGAAGCTAATAGTACTGGGAGCGGGAGTGACCGCCTGGCAATAGGCTGGCTTTTTAGTTCGAAGCGGTCAGCGAGGGTAAAAGCCCGAGAAGGGGTCGTCGCAGAGAATAGAATAAATAAAATAAAAGTAAGAAGGGAGGGGGGGGGG